ACAAGCTTCTGCTTGCCCTTGATCCTCAATCTGGGGGGCTATTTGCACATTTTCCAGCGTGATATCACGAGATAAAAATGATAACTAAATGGCCTGGAGATCATCAAATTCACATTTTGGATCCATGGCCAGGAAACTCCCCAGATCTTAATCCAACTGAGGATTAGTGGTCAATCCTTTAAAAGCAGGTGGACAAGGAGAAGCCAGCAAACTGTGATCGCCATCAATCAGGATTTGGCCAAGAAGCTGATATCCAGCGACAGAAATGATGAAGAAGAAGGGCTGAGGCTGCAAACACAGAGCACTTTGTATAGATTTGATTTATTTGCCAGTGAAGTCTTACTTAAACTTAACGTAATGCTTACTTTGTTCTTTGCTACATCACAGAAACAACAGCATTTGTCTATGTCCACATCTCTCTGGATATTTCTGTGAGTGTGTGGAGTTACAAAAAGCACCCATTTATGGCATCACAGTTCAGTTCTTTGTTTGTAACATCTAACCCTGAACACTTTGTCATTGCCAAGAAAGGTCAAGAAATGTGACGCTTGCTAAACCGTGAACCTGTTTCATGCTGAAGACTCACGGCCGTGATGCAACGAAGATAGCTTACAATAAAGGACACAAAATTCAAAGAACAAGCTTGGAACACCCTGATGGTTACAGAGCGGTACATCATAACTAAGTCACAACCAGCCCGAAAAGCTTATATGAGTGTATCATTAATTAAACATGAACAGTTACTTAATGGTTATCAGTAAGTAGACCTAATCCACCAACTTCTCCATTACTCCTTTATTATTTCTGCATCCGTGCATTGTTGATTCCTCGGTGTTTCACACAAATTCCCTATTAATTAAGTTGTACTTAAGGTTTGTGAGGGGAGACAGTAGAAATCTGCAGCACTTACTCTTTGGTAAGTCCAATTTAGAAATGATAACTTCTAAATCCTCCAGTACAGTACAGTCACCTCTGAGTATTTTGACTATATCGTCTATCTTATGCATAATTTCCAACTCCAGGCTGTGTACGCTTGAATGGATATTGGATTCAGGGATGTCAGGGGATGTGTCTTTGTGTAATGAGGGAGAATGCGGCCTAAGGAGCTCAACAGCCCATTTCAAGATAGAAGATAAATAATTGGCAGTGTCTTTTCCTTGGGCGAAATGGGACAAAAAAAGAGATTTGACTGACTCTGACAAGCAAAATAGAAAAAGTAAAAAGTTTTTCAGAGGAGTGAGAGGAGTGCAGCATGTGCCATGATCACAGAACCATCAAACATTTTGTTGGCAGTAGTCAAAAAGTTCACAAAAAACATGCTGTGAAAAGAAAAGATGCAAATGAATTGCCAGAAATTGGAGAAGAATCAAATGTGAAGGTGCCAGGAAGCCGTTATCCTCCAGCGCTGTCATAATCCAGTACTGCAGCCTACCTGCAGTGCCCAGATGGTGAAAGGCGTTCAGTGCTCAGAGACACGGAAGCTGCGTATCCGACTGAAAAGTCAAGACTGGGCCAAGAAATATCCAAGGACAAACTTATGGACCAATGAGATGAGAGTAACTCTTGACAGAGGATATGGATGGTGGCTCTTCCACTTCAAATCAGACTCCAAGGTGGAGGTGAGGTAGTGGTGTGGGCTGGTGTTATTAAAGATGAGAAGGTCTGCATCTTTCAAGAAGACTGTGAATTTTATACTGGCTAATGCTCCATCGCAGCCCTTAAAGATGAAAGAATAATGACTCACGGATTCAGTCCCAAACCCCACCTAAATCCCACTGAGAGCCTGTAGGAGAGTCACTGTGAAGGAAAACAGCACACCTCTCTGAACAGTGTCTGGGAGGCCGCGGATGCTGCATGAAAGGTTGATCGTCAGCAGATCAAGAAACTGACAGATGCCATGAATGGAGCTGTCTGGCAACAGCTTTGGTGTTTCAGTTTGGATGTATCCGTAGGTCGGCATACCTTCTTTGAACAACATATGACGATCAAAGCAATTTGACCCCTTTATGAGCCAGCCCCTGTGAGAAACTGAAACAGTAACTCAAGCAAAAAAGAAAGTAGTTTTTTATTGTGTGCTCCTGCTTCATTTCCTTTTTGTAGTTTCCCTCACATTCAGCAAAATCTGCAAAGCTTCAGACTTCTTGGTGTCTTGGGTAATTCTCCCTGTTGGATAATAGACAGCCTAACTTTCCTCTGATTACAACAGAAAGGATTCCCTTCACATACATTAGGTAAAAGCCATGCTCCATAAAAGTGCATGCCCTGTGCTCATCCATTTCTACTTGTTGTTATTGAAAGCCCTGTGCTAGTTTTTCTCTCCCCATGATTGTGGGAATTGACACTGATTTTCCCCTCTTCCAGTTAAACACTGTTATTTCAGCAGCTCCACCATTTCCCGTGCTGCACACCTCTGACACGCTGACCCATGAATCACACTGTTCACTAGAATCTCATGGCGTCACTTACAGGAATGTTTTGCGTGAGAGCATTATGCCCTCTAGTGGAGGGTTTTAAACAAAAACAAAAACAAAACAAAAACAACCAAATTTCAAATCACTGGATGAAGAATACAGTGTTGTTTGTCTTTAAAGAGGCATTGATAGAAGTGTGTGAGTGACTGAAGAGAAATGAAGAGAAGTTTGGCAATACGTGTTCAGGTTACTGTCTCCTCTTTGATCATTAGAAACTGAAATATGTGGAATAAAGCAGGACTTTCTTACCTTCAGTTTTGTACTTGATAACTGAAAGGCATGCTCTGTTGGACTGAGATCAGGTGACTGACCTGGCCATTCAACAATCTCCCGTTTCATTTCATCAGGCTGCTTCTATCAGCAGTCGCATCAACCAGACCCGCTCCGGAGCAGGTTAAGATTCAGATTAGAGATCAACAGGTATGAAATCAGCACCCAGTAACAAATCAGTTCTCCAGAAAATTGCATCACCATTTTTCAGTAGTCTCCAAAGTCTCTCTGTTTCCCTGATGAGCATCAGTAATAAATAATGATCAATTCTGATTTTAGACACAACTTATATTCTTAATTGTTTTTCCCCTGTTGCCTGAAAGCAATTTTACCACAACCTCTCACTGACCTCACATCAAATTGAATTCTGTCTTTATATTTAAACGTTGCTCTCACACCCTTAAACAACAAGTAAATGGAGTGGGTTATTCTTTGGTGTAAACTTGGCTTTTTCCTTTTACATTTTCACTGACTCTCTTTTACTCTAAGTACAGCTACTAGCACACAGGACAAACACCAAGAATATCTGTTCAATCAGTCACATTAACTTCACTCTGACCGGCATGCTGAAGTGATTTCCACGTCTCCTTTATCAGGCCATGTGCAGCAATACAGAAGCATAGCATGTAAAGGTTCTCTGTAAAGGAGTCCTAACAACATGACACTCTGCAGCCACATGTGATTTACGGAGGTAAAGTTCTGACAGCCCTGGAGCCTAGAACTCAACTTTGATCACAGAGGACGATGGATGTGTCTGAAGATGAAGACCATCTTGAGGTCATTTCTGATTCTGATGATTTCCAAATGAGGAAAATGCCAATCATATCCCTGCAAGCACGACAATCACATCAAAAAATGGTAAAATATAGTGATCTTCATCGTCAAATGGACATCAGGCAAAACTATTGGCATGAAACATAATGAAGACAGCACCAGGGCCCACTAGGATGGCACGTGATTGACATCAAGTCAGCTTTTGAGCCCAAATCAATACAGACAGACAGACATGCTCAAAATGACTAAAGTGACTGTGCATTTTGGGGGAGAACTGGAAGCTGGATAAAATGCATTTGTATGGATGTTTGAGGGTCCTATGTATGGTCATAGGTTCAATCAACAGCCAGTCTGTGGGATGCAGAGACATATATTTTATGCCACGATGGCCCTGGAGACTATGTTTTGACACCTATTGTTAGACTAGATTAACAAAAAAACCCCAATGTCATGAAAAATGATGGTATTTTATATGTAAGTCCTTCCAGTGTATATAATGAAAAACTAGTGATATATCCTCACTGAACCCCCCATGTGTGAGGTGTAAGAAATGCCACTGCACTAATTATTGAATGAAATAGTAACGGAGTTAATAATGCTAAATAATGTGTATCGTAATTTTCTAAAGGTTTCTGACACTTTTAGATAACTAAATCTGCCCCAGGTCAAACTGACCCAGGAACAGCATTGCTGTACCTGAGAAATGAACATGAGGGTTAATCACCATTTGATAAGGTGTCTGGAGTGGGGATCATTTCTGTGAAAACGGGTCAGCTCATGAGCGGTTTCTCTTCGCATCATTCTGCTACAAGTTAATCTAGGTTTCATCTTTTAAAAGAAACTTCCAGAACTGTGCAGGCTCTGACACAGTCTAATCTAACCTTCTTGTTATTGAGTTTAACCAGTGGTTTGTACCTTGTTGTGAACATTCATGAAGGCGTCTTTTGATTTCAGACTTTGTGACGATACACCTACCTCACCTCCTTGAGTGTCCTTGACTTGGTTGGATGTGGTCTAACATCTAACCAAGGTCTGGTCTTTCACGCTGCTTTGAGCTGCATTCATTCCCTTTTAAGACTGTACCAGTTGGTTTTTGCTCTCTGTGTAAGGCCAAAAAAAACCTCAAATAAATGGTTCCCTTCCATGTTTTTGTGCCTTGTTCTCCAAATTTCAGTGACCAGCTACCAAATGCAAGTTTTCTCTGCTTTATTTATCATGACATGACAAGGGCGTGAAACTGCTCGTCAGTTGGTTGTTAGGTTTTGATAGTGGGTTTGAAACAAATCTCTCATCACGAGGCACTAAAGCAAAACTACAACTAAGAAGGTTCGTTGTCAAAAAAAAAAAAAAAACTTTCCCAAGAAATGAATAAAATAAATTTGAATACATCTGTGTTCCATGACTAGCTTTGTCATCTCTTTCAGAAAGGTAACACAGAAACATGTCTTCATACCCACCCCCTCTAAGCACACTCCAGGCGGCAGCTACTGTTGTACACATTTATTGGAAATAGAGTCAAAGTAAAAATGTCTTTTTTAAGAGAGAAGACATCTTTGACATTTCATGTTTGTCAGAGAGAAAGAGACTCGTTTGGACACACCGAGTGACATAAGTTAGTTTAGCTTATACGTGTGACATGCAATAAATAAAAGCGCACTACGGTCCGGCTTAATGTACACTTGCTTTCATTTGCACATTACCTACACAGCAGCTGAGTAAAACGACACCTCCTGTTTTGATATGCACAAAGGCTAGTGAAGAGAGTGGACTATCAAATGGTAATACAAAAATAGAACCAGGTAGCATTTCATACTTGAAAAATAAAGGGACAGACAAACGGCGAACACGGCTGAGTACTTGTTTTTGTGCATCCATCCTCCTTGAAGCGCAGAACTTCATCTAAGCGACAGGCATTAATTCTCTGTCTTTTTTTTTTTTTTTTTTTTTTCTTGCTTTTGTGACAGAAATAAACCTCTTCAACAAAGCACAGGACAGGGCTTTGAGCATGTGTGGCACAGACTGACAGGGCATGCGGTTAGCTCTGTGCAAATACTAAAAAAATTAAATGACAAAAGAAACATCTTTACAAAATCATTTGTAAGAAAGAGGAGCGACTGAAAACGGGCCCCGAGAACCGATCTGAGTGTGAGACCGATGTCTTGCTGGAAAGCACTGAGAAAAGTAGCTGCATCTGAGTAGTTATCTGAACTGCATCGTTTCAGGCTGCTGTCTCACGTGTGTCTCACTCTCGGTAAACCCAGCGGCTCCGGGGAAGAAACCAGCCAGAGACCTATTTAGTCCGCTGGATTCTTATGGATAATTGGAGCACTTTTCTTTAAGGGCTTCAGGCTTCCTATCACATCTAATAAATGAGCCACAATAATAAAATTACCACTCACTTTTTATGCAAAGGCAAGAATTTCTTCACCGAACTCAGCGAGAAATGAATGTAGCTTTGTAAACATGTAGAGTTATCTTACATACGTGACCGTTTTACATGTACAAAATGAGTGGCAAGTCTAATTATGGTTATTCTGAGCTCTCGGTGCCACTCGTCACCCTTGTTCAGTAGCCCTTAAAGAAGCCTTCGGCCACCCTCGCTTCTTTAAACGTCACCGTCACAGAGTTTATAGTCACTTTTGTCAAGATGACGGTCTCCGGCTGGTCTGCTGTTGGGGAAGCAGTCTCTGGGGCGACGATCGAATCGTCGCCTCTCGCTTCCTCCTTCCTCACCTCAGCCAGGGAGCAGACGGTAGCGGCGTCACCTGCCGTCCCTCTGCTCCCCCGAATGCTCACTATCACTGAGGTTGCATTGCTTCTCTCCGGGCCCGACTCCCAGCCCTCCTCTCCTCTGTCCGAATCTGACCTGTCACTCACAGAAACCGCATCGCCCAGTCTGGCCTCAGATGCAGAGGCGCTGTCCTTTGATTGGCTGCGCACAAGCATCGGCTTCGGTGTCGAATCGCACTCGCCCATGATGTCGATCCACGTGTGCGAGCTTACCGGCATCAGGTCACCACCCACCTTCTCCCCCACCTCCAGCTCCAGGTCATGTTGCTCGAGCAGAGCAGGTGAGCTGCACTCTGACAGGCCTGAAAAGAGATGGTGACACATCTTGTTCATTTTTAAGGGTCAAAAGGTCATAGTGGGGCTACTGTGTTTTGTTATCAGCTTGACAAACCAACCATATAAACTGCCTTCACATCTCTCCCCCATGGTGCTCTCAGACTTCTCTTCTTCACTGGTGCCGCCCCAGTCCTCCTCCATGGGCTCTATCTTCTTCTTCTGCAGATGCATGCGTTTGCCATCTCGCCCTCCTTTGGCCACCCTCTGCCGGCCATTCCTCCTCACCTGGCGCTGGTACATGCTGCCGCGCTCAACGTGGTCCACGTCTGTGCTCATGGAGCGGGTGAGGGAGAGGCGAATGCGGGGCGGAGGCTTCTCCGTCATCTTGTGAGCGCTGCGGAGGTCCATGGCAAAGACATTCTGGGGCAGAGCAGAGATGGTGGCAGGTCAGAAGCTGCATGACTGTGCACACAAGCAGGAAGCAAATACAGTTCTGCCTTTTGAGTTACTTACAGTGGAAACATAGGATGCATTTCATTTTTGACAGACAGCACGTGTATGGGAAATGTAGTCCTGAAGAAAATGCTGTGATATTCAGTTTGCAGCCAACACCACTATCCAAGCTGCAAACTGTTTAGCATGTTTAACACCTTTGTTTTATTTTGGTTTTTTAGAAATGTCTTAATTCTGCAGAAATTGGTTGATAGGATGGTTTTAGCTAGGATTAGCTAGGATGGTGGAATACTAACCAAAAAATAAATACATAAATAAATAAAACAATCCTGCTGCTGTGAATATTTATAAGTACAGAAAATGTGCCAATATCTGCTATTAAAAAGATTAAAAGATGTGTATTTACAGATTTACTGCAGTTTGATACAAGTAATGGACAACAGTCATCATCTCACGAAACACCAGAACTGTTCTAAACTCGCTTCAAAAACAAGTAAATGGAGCTTAAAGGTGCAAAATGCAAGTTCCAAACCAGCTATGCCCAGCTTGCCTTTTTTTAAAATACCACCTATTTACCACAAGAGGCAGCAGTGAGTTAGTGTTGCATACATACTGTGTAGGTCCAAAGAAGGAGCACTGCACAGTGCGCACAGGCTGTGACTCTGTCCAAGTGTTAATGCATGATTTTCTTTTAAGGACCCTCTCTGGTCCTCATCGTCATGGTGATATCAAGAGCTTGACTTGGCTAATTTGTGATGCTCTGATATTCACGTGTGGGACAAAGCTCGACAGCAACTCTTACAAATTGCACCTTTAACGACTGAAGTGATAATGACACAGTGAGAGCAACGACCATTTGGGGGTCACGCCCCTCGCTTTAGAAACATGTCTTTTAAAAACTACCAAGGCCATTGCGCCTTGATCTCTGCTGGGGTTTTGTATCTTAGTGATTGATTATCAGCGCTAATGGGTCACTCTGTAAAGAAACTGATGTTTTAAACTGTTAAAACATCTGGACAATAATGCACTGTGAAGACAAAACAACAAAAGAATTGTTCACAATGATGCAGCATTGTTTTGGTTTTTTTTGTTTTCCTCATATTTCCATCTGTTTATGTAAATGTTTCAATCAAAGGGGCATTCTGGCAATGTTATACATGAAACTTACATTTGAGTACCATTCAGCTAGTAAAACGAGCTTGAAAAATAATCCTACTGATGTCATGGTGATGTAATTGGGGTTATTGGGCTGGAGCTTGAGATCAAGTTGCATTAGCAGCAGGGTTACAGGTCAGGCGGTTCAGGCGGCAGAAGGCAGAGTTTGTTGGGTGCTAATGGTAAGGTCTGTGATTTGACACTGAACCTGAGGCGCTCCCATCAGAGGAACTTTAGGCCAATAAGTAACTAAGAAGAAAAAAGTCCCAGGATTCCTACATCCCAAAAATTTGTAAGCTTAATGTTAAATTGATGGAATACCCCTTTAATATCTTTTTTATTTGTTTGTTGTGTGTGTGCACAAATACCAAAAGTCATCACCTGGATAAATGTGCAACTGCCTTTAAACAAACAAGCCTGGCCAGCAGTTAGGGTTAATGAAGGAAGATACAACAAAGGTTTGTGAGACAAGAGGAAAGGTAAGTGTCGCTACCCGCAGGACGGGCCTCCTCGGTCTAAGACCTTTCCTGCGATAGGTCAGAGTTCTTATCTTCTCCCGGCTGGAAAAGAAGCAGACAGAGAGGGAGGTCAGAAACAAAAGCAAGAATATTAAAGTGTGACTAACAGAATGAAAGGAAAACCACAACAGTTTCTGTAATTACTCACTTCTCCTCGTAGGCCAGAACAAGGAGAGGGTCCAAAATATTGTCCTCTGGTTCCCAGGTACTGTACCTGCCAGCGCACACGCGCACACACACACACCCAAGCGGTCAGTCTATCTAGTATGAAGAAGCACATTCTATAAACGCTCATAAATATACACCGGATGAGGGGGATGAGGTCACTAGATGATGACTCAAGGCTTACTCACTTTTGGGGCCATCCCTGCCATTTCAATAGATACTCCACAGCACCCTGAGGAGAGACAGAGGGGTGGGGGTGGTGTACACTTAGAGATGATGCAGCACACACACAAAACACGTGCTCCAGCGCATACAGAACCAAGCTGCTGTCGCTTTAAAGTGTGGATGGGAGGGACAGAGGGAGGGTCACGAGGATTTTTACTTCTTTTTTTTTTTTTAAAGGGGTGTTTTTGTGAGGGGTGACGTCAATGACAGCGAGGCTGAGTGGCTGCAGCTAGTCTCTCGCTGGCGATGACGTGACCGAACGTGGCTACAGCAGGTGCCGGTTTCTACGATTCTCGTGCACATTCTAGAACAGCCCTCCGCTCGTATAGGTGGGGCCACATGTGAAGATGAGGGGAGGCGGGGGCATGTAAACAACGCGGTGCTGCGCAATTTTATCTTTAAAAAAATTAAAATCTTTTTTAACTTTTTAAATTATCAGCTCGAAAATCAATGCTCGCAGTTTGTTCTAGTAAAGACGAGATAAAAACAAAACAAAACAACACAAGAGCAGCTCCGACGTGCGCACAGTGCGCGCTTTCAGGAGAAGAACGTGTTTGTTTACAGGCTCTATTAAACTTACGCGAGAGCGCGTTTCTACATTATAGTGCGCTCGTGCTGCTCAAATTATCACCCCCAAATCCCCCCACCACCCCTAACTGCAAAAAAATCAATGGGCCACCACCACGAAGGAGTCAGCGACGGATTTACGCAGCGCTCACCATCTAACCGAAAATAAAGTGCGCAGCTGCCCGCATAGCTACTGGCCGTCAGACCTGTTTTCAGGTCACACACCCCCCTTCTTCCTCCACACATTTCACTACAACTGCGTAGGCTCCTCCAAAACACGAACACGCTGCAGCAGCAGCGTCAGCCGTTGCACAGGAAGGTTACAGGATGCGACTCGTGCGCTAAAACAGTGTTAAAGTTTGGCGCAGTTGCATGAAAACAGATCGGTGTTGTGTCTTAGCGTAAAAGCTGGAGAAGGCATTTGGGAGCGACAAAAGTGCGTAGCCTGGTTTTGTTTGTGCATGGCAACCGGAGCAGAGCGCTCCTTCAAGAGGGAAAACAAACACAGGCGATTAAGTTTTTCTGTGAGTTACGTGCTCATTCTTACCTTTCTCACCCTCTTATTTGTTATCGACTCCACTGCAAACACTTGGTCTCCAATTGAAGACAGCTCCATCGCTGATCGCTGACTCCTGAGCAGGACGCGAACTGGGTATCTATGCTTTTTCGGTTGTTGTTGTTGTTTTTGTTGGCTTTTTTGTTGTTGTTTTTTGTCGCAGTGCAAAAATTAAAATAACAGATACTATTTAAAGACGAGTTTGTGTGGGGAAAACCCTCGCAGGGTCACAGCGGCCGCTCGCTTGTTTTTCTGCCTTCGCTTCTTCCCCCTCACGCCTGCTCCTGCTGCCTGCCTCTCTCAGTTTTTAAAATCTGCGACACATCAACAGCAGCTTTAAGTCCTGCGCGCTCTCACACTGTTGCGTAGGGGCCGAGCCCCCAAGATACGTGCCCGCACCCGCGAGGCCGCGCACGCAAGACTAGAGTGCAGGTGAGGGGCAGAGGGAAAGAGATCACGAGGACAGGATTGTTAAGGGTTACAGCAAGGGGAGCTGCTGCTTTTTTGCTCATGAATTTTTAAATTATTGTTGTTTTTGTCGTTCGTAAGTCAAAATTTCGGGTGACTGTCTGGAAATTTCTACTAAATATCTCCATATCTGGAGTTACCTAAACCCATAATTTTTACTCAATAGCGCGAAATTTCAAATTGGGTCAAATCTCAAACTTTCGACTTATTCAGGTGTTAGAATAGCTAACACGAAATCTGAACTTACCTCTGTCTGAATTTTTTTTTTCTAAATTAAACATGATTTTTTTTTTTTTAACATAGCTGACTATGTTAAGCTTAAAATGTGTAGCTTTCTGTAGAAACTTAATTAAATCGCGAATGTATTATATAAATAAGCATTTTTTGTATTTCCGCTATTTAAAAGGTGTTTAAAAACACTTAAGGATTACATTAATTTATAACCCAATTGTTGTGATTGATTCCACCCTCCATGCCCCCCCCCCTATTGTAGAAACAGAGCTTCCATAGCATCCAGTTTTCTGAAAATGTTAAAGCCAGATTCTCAGTTTTGTTTGGTTCAACAACTTAATTTCGCATTAATGCAGAACAAGGAGGAAGAAGGTAGGATTCTTCTGAACAAGGCTAACAAAATATTGTCAACCACCTCCACCTCCCCAGTAGCAAAGGTCAATGTACACATTTAGTGTGTAGATGCTATCAATCTTTCCATCAAGCTCTGCACCAAAAAGCTAAAAAGTTCACTCACTGAAAACTACAAAGACACTATGTCAGTCTGGTCTAAGATCATAATATGACTTTTAGGAATTTATTGTTTTTCAATTTTCCCACTTTCACAAGTCCTTGGTTGCACCACTGGACTCCAGCCTGATCATGAAACAATATGAGCTCTATGTATTTTTATGTAACAGAAGTAAAGCTCAGGAAAGATCAGAATCTGCAATGGAAATGAAAGCCTTGCCTTCTCTCTCTCTCTCTCTCCTGTGGAAACGTCCACCCCTTCAACCACGTTTGATCCAAATATGGAACGAAAGAGCTAAACACTGACAGAAAGTCTTAATTTTACATTCTGAATGCTAAGCAACCTCTCTGCGGAGAGGAGAGCTGGAAATACAGCTGACTATAACTAAGATGAAGGTCTCAGCGATTAAATAATAACTGCTCATGCGATCAAGGAAAAAGAAAAAAAAGATGTTGTTTAACAGTGTGATCTCACGCACTTTTCAAACTTTATACCTGAGCATCTATTCACCCAGCCCCCAGGTGAGAACAGCTCATAAAGGTGGCACAGGTATTGTGGAAAAAGGGCCCAGAGCCAAATTCCTGCTATCTTTCATTGAGGTTGGTGTGGATCAGTTTACAGAAAAGAAAAAAAAAACTCTTTGTAACTCCACACAAACACAATTCATCCACACGGCCTGTGGTCCACGCTCTCTCTGCACCTGGAGCACTTGCATCACTTACGCACATTGGGTGCCATGGCAACTGTTTCCACGGCAACAACTGAAAAGCTGGATGATGATGATGATGATGATGACACAGCAGGAGGAGTTGACAAACAGTTCAAGGATGAAGAATGAGCTGAACTTGTCCACCTTTGACCTCCCAGTTTTGAGATTATATAAACATGTTAATCCAATGACACTGTTGTGTGCATGTAGCCTCCGAGATATGAAGCAACAAACTGCTGTGAAAACACAGGACAGCTGTGAATGTTGTTACCTTACAAGCACAACATACTAACAACAGACAATTTAAAAATGTCAAGTGTATTTTTCAGTCAAGAGAAGCTTGAATTGATCCAGAACTTGTAAACATGTGAAATCATCCTATTGCAGCTTGTTTCTATTGCTCATTTAGGGCGGGGCTAATCCAGCATTTGGGCGGGGCTGAGTTATAGACGATATTTGCTGATATGTCAGTATCGGCATTTGTAACGTCTAAAAATGCAGAATGAAAACATAACGGCGAGATGAGAGACACACCTTTCACCGTTTTATGAGTGTTGGATTGTGTTCACCACGTGTTTGGACCTAAAGCTACAAAGAACAACCCGCTGATCTGAGCAGAGTCAGGCAGACTAAACAAGTAATCCCTGACTTGTTGTGATGATAAAAGACGATTATTTTAAAGTTGTGTTGTCATGTTATTTTAGTGAAGACTCACAAATAACAGCACTTAAATGTTTGGGGAATGTGTTTAGGTTTTGAATGCCTGAAAGATAATAAAAAAAAAAATCGTCTGAAATTGGCCACACTTTACTTATTTAACACACCATCAATGGAAAGCATTTTAAAAAGTAGCAGTAACATATTGTAACAACCTGATGAGATTGTGAACAGTGGTTATGAGAGGTTTGCAGGAGTATGAAATGCAGTAGTTTACAGTGACCTTATTAAGTATTAATAAACTGTTAAGAACTGAAAGGTTATCAGATTATATGGTTATATGAAGAGTGACAGAAATATTAACACGTTTTAACATTTAGAATTAATTCTGTACTCATTGTTTACTTAAAACAAAGATCATTTACTGGTCCAAACAGCAGAGAATATACATCCTCATCCTTTGATTTAAGAACTACTGCATGATCACCATCATTATAAGAACCAAAGTCAGTCACCCCAGTTTATATTGACTGGGAGCATGAAAACTAGATTGTGATTAGATTATCATCTTTACCATGACTCAGTGTTTTAATTATTACTTCCTTCCCTGGTCAGTGGCTGTGCCTTAAAAACTTTCAAATTTTAGCTGCACACACAATTTAAAAATTTAAATCTACGCCAAGATGCCCCTGATGATGTAATGATGACCTCACTGGGACTATTCTGTCAGATTTATTTGAGCAGAAGAACCTGTAAAAGTGGCAGAGTGCCCTTTTAATCTGATTTTGTGCAGTGAGTATTTCCACACAGGCGCTTTAATGTCCAGCAGTGAGTTTGCACAGAGCGCTGTGGTGTTTTAGTTCCGGTCAAGTCCATAAAGCTCTGGTGATCTGACCGCCTGTTCTTTATGGTCCTATAGGGAAGAGTACACCTATCAGTCTGAAATACGGGATAAATGCGCCTCTTTTCCCGTAAGTAGGAGGTAATTCCTGCAATTCAGAGAAGAGATACGGCGGTCACATGACTCGTTATCTGCCCGGATACTACTGTAGCGGATTTGGGAGTCGGGATGGAGCGGCAAACACAACACGGCAGGACGGATCACAGCGCTCGCTCCCACCCACATGTTATGACTCACATATGAGTCACCAAACGTGCCAGTAAAATCAGGGCTACTTCACTGGAATACGACCAGCGAAAAACATTTGTGTAACTTACAGCCCAGTACCGGGAATCCACGGGTTTATTTCCCCTGCCCTACACCCGCAGGGGGTGCATTTTAAGGGAACAAAGGCAAGAGGCGTTTATGGGAAAACGGAACCGGTCAGACTTTTCCCTGGAACACAAAACTGCACAAGTTTAGGAGAAAGAACTTGTTTACGCTCAGCATTTGGTACTAAGTAGGCCTATGGGTGTGCGTTTCTGTAGTCGGGCCTTGTGGTGGAAAGATTGCCAAGTTGCAGAGAAATTTTGACTACGTCTGTGTACTCGAGTGTTTTTGCACACTATGGTTCATCCCGTGAAAAATCACGGAGTGATTTGAAAGAAGTCATGCAAATCTTACCTTCAGACTATTACGTACCATACAGTCTGAGCTATAGGCCTTAGTATGGCTATGTTATCAAAAATAACTGTATAAAATATGCACGCACTCCCTCTGTGTTACAATTATTTTTTAACACAGAAAGACTATTTTATTTTATTAATACACAAAAAACTCACAAACATGAAGCAAGTGCAACAGAAATATATAAAATCAAAGACATTTATATAATCATTAATGAAAAATGTGCTTGGTACAAACTGAATGAGACTGCATTAAATTAAAGGTGCACTTCCGAGGGCTCAAAATGATTGGGGGTTAAAAAAAAAAGAAAAAGAAAAAAAAAGCGCATTAATTACAATTATGACATCCTTTAATGTACCTGTAAAAGTCTTCATGAAGGAGAGATTTTGCATGGCTTCATAACTGTTATTGGATATGAAAGTTACATACTGAGAGATGTTGTGGGGAACTTTTTTTAGATTTGGTTGACTCTATTCCTACTTTACTTATGCATCGGAGTATTTCAGGGCAGAGAAAGTCTGTTTTCATTCGTGCATGCTCTGCTTAGTCATAAATTTTGTTTCGTTTCCAAAGTAGGGCCGACTGAAAGTTTAAGACTCAAAACCAAAAGTAAATGAACAAAGAGAAGCAAACAACAGACTCAAAATAAAAGCAAAAGCTGAAGCTAATGGAAAACCCCAAACACTCCAAGCGAAACCAAAAGTTCCCTCTGTCATAACTGCAGAGATTTAATGTACAATAAAATGTTAAAATGAGTTTATTAACTTTTATCAGTGTGAACATCAGATGACCAGTCCAACCTGGTTTCTTTCTGTTTGCAGTGTAAAAACAATTTTTCCTCCCGCCTTTTTCTTCCACCTCCATAAATCGATACATGAAAATATTCAGATATCAATACATTTGGCCGATTAGTCTTGACCGGCATGCACATACGCCGTCTTTTAAAATGATGTTTATTTGTCAGAGATGGCGTTGCTCCTGAGTCAGAAATATACAGGATTTTTAGTTAGGACTTAGAGATTGTAAAAAGCAGAGAAAGACAGTAGAGTGGAGGATCGCTTGATCCAAGGCCAGGTGTGCTGTCAGGTTGCTGTGGTTACAAACGCGAGTAATAAAACTAGTTCAGCACTTCAGCGTTTGTCTCAGAGTTTATTTTATGTGTGCTTTCCAGCATAAATGGTCCGTGTACAGTTCTGATTGGTTTGTTTTACACTTCAATATT